TAACGTGTATACGAGCCAGTTTCCCTTAGAAAGTCCTCCACGAAGGCATCCCTCCCTTAAGGCAGATAGCCCTCGAGTGCTTTGCCGTAATCTAATAAAACCAAACCAAACCAAACCAACTTGTTGAATGCAAAGATGACTTGAAATTAATTATATGTCCCATGCATTACTCAGTTGCAGACATGGCTTTAATTAGAGCGTATATGAGAATACCATTCACGTATTTAAATACATTCAGTAAAGTATAATGAAATGAATTGAACACGAAACTAAGAAACGTTACTCGGATTTTAGCTTTAAAAAGGTCCCGCAATGTAAAGCAGCATGGCCAAAAATGGAGTCTAGTTTTACTTTTCGCAATGAATGATGAACTCTGTCTTAGCATTGTTAAAGGGCCATTACCGATATCGATTTTAATAGAAGAGGGGGGGGGTTGAGTATTTTTCGATGACGGTTGGAAGAGATAATGAAAGGATATTATCCACCCAGATTAAGGTCTTTTTTTCTATTTGATATCCAGAAAAATGAACACGAATTCATTTTTTTTCAGTGCTTAGAATTTAAAACTTAAATCACTTTTGTTTGATCCCATGCGTTTACGTAATAGAAAACATCAAAGCGGAAACATAACAGGCTAATATTTTTTATGACATTTACACTGAGAATTTTCCTTTTATGTTTGTTTGGCAACTCCTCCATCAAAATACCATTAATTTTCCATTTTTTTGTTGTTGTTTGTGGAAATTAATGCCTTATATCCCCGAAGTAAAAATAACCAATAATGTTTATTTGATTTTAATAGCCCAGAGAAATTTTAAAAAATCTGAGCAAACAAAGACTGCTCTGTGTCAGGAAGTATAACCCGGTGGTTGGTTTGAATAATTTATGAACATAACTATTACGTAGACCAAAATTATTTATGTAAATTAAATACTGTATAAATGCGTATATATTGCAAAAAATTACTCTTGAAAAATTCAGTAATTTATGTAAATCATAATTACTTAAATATTTAATTAATTAATTCAATTAATAAAAATGTAGAAGAATAAATTCCAGTTTCTCTTATCCGTTCTCGACGAAAATGCAAACCACTGTATAGATGAGGTTAATATTAACTCTAACTGTTCATATCATTATTTTTCATGGCCCCTAATCTTGTAAACATGATCTAAAAACTGTAACGTAACAGAAATATGCAATGGAAGTGAAGGAACATATTACAGCGATACAACTCTGCTCGTACGAGTTTCACGTAAGCAGGATGAGTAAAGAGTAAAGCTTTGCGGACTAGCTCCGCCGTATGTAGAATGAGTAAAAGTAAAGAGTAAAGCTTTGCGGACTAGCTCCTAGCTCCGCGTAGTGTAGAATAAGGTAAAGTAAAAAAAGAGTAAAGCTTTGCGGACTAGCTCCGCCGTATGTAGAATGAGTAAAAGTAAAGAGTAAAGCTTTGCGGACTAGCTCCGCCGTATGTAGAATGAGTAAAAGTAAAGAGTAAAGCTTTGCGGACTAGCTCCGCCGTATGTAGAATGAGTAAAAGTAAAGAGTAAAGCTTTGCGGACTAGCTCCGCCGTATGTAGAATGAGTAGTAAAAGTAAAGAGTAAAGCTTGCGGACTAGCTCCGCCGTATGTAGAATGAGTAAAAGTAAAGAGTAAAGCTTTGCGGACTAGCTCCGCCGTATGTAGAATGAGTAAAAGTAAAGAGTAAAGCTTTGCGGACTAGCTCCGCCGTATGTAGAATGAGTAAAAGCTAGATCTTTTCAATAAACAGGGAACCGTTTCTTATGCGAATTCGAGTATTAGTCTCAGCTTTCTGCTGCTCGTATGCATTTTCATTGCTACAAAAACATCTTAAAGAAATCTTAAGCATTTAATTTCTTTATTAAAGTAAAGACATTTATTTATTTATTTATTTACCATCAGATGAGCAGCTGCACCGCCTTTAAGACACTCAGCTTTTACGCTCAACTGATGGAATCATCTACCAACTGTGTTCTTATGTAAAATAAAATTTTAATTTTAAAATTTTGATAATTACATAATAAAAATTAAATATCAAGAAATAAATATATAAATAATACAATAAATAATAAACATAAATACAATAAATAAAAGTTAAAAATTTAGAATAAGATAAATACAATGTTATTATATATGAAGTCAAATAAAGTATCAGAATTTTGAGAATTATATAATAAAATTTAAGAAATTAAATATATAAATACATAATACCTAAATAAATAAAATATGTAAGTAAATGAAACATAAATACGTAAATAAAAGTAAAGAGATTAGCAATATCACACCTATATTGGAATTGCAAACTCATTAAGTTTATACCAACATTTAGCAATTAAATACGGTGAGACTGCCTGCCCGCCCAAACAGTACATTCACACAGAGGTAAATTTTACACATTTGCTAATTATTTTATGTACACGTAACAAATACCACACTTATTAATATACTTTTCCCCTAACAGCTTAAGAATATAATGTAGATAATTCGGATTTATGCTAATAACGCAGAACGCATGCAGAGATAGGTAAGTACTGTGCGTAATGAAAATAATTTTATTAAAACTAATAATATCTTTGGACTAAAGAACGATAAAATATCAGAATATCTAATCATATGATATGATCTTAATATAAGCGTTCTCGCCAGGAATGGTTATAAGGTTTAATTATCATTTAATTATATTAAATCTTTCCTGTACTTTTACTTTTTGCCAACTCCACCAGAAATCCAAATTAAATTAGTTAAATACTGGATGAAAATCTGTCCTAAATTCAATGAGAGTGTTAATAACTTACAACCAAGAGCACTGTAACTTTCAAATTCTACCTGCGCTTGTGATGTGTAGACAATTAACGATTTTTGCCTTTTGACTTTGCTTTCAGATGTCTTAGAAGACTCGCTTCCATAGCAGCGAGTGCCGTAGTCCGTAGTTTGATATCTGGTTTGTATATAAATGGAATACTGAAGCATTATTAAGTGACAAGAAGCCGATGTTAAGTTTGTTAACTTTTTAATTTTGGTAACTTCAAATCGAAATCTAAATAAATGTTTGAGTTCATTTTACAATTGTTTTTATTACTTTGTTGTATCCCTGGATTCCAGTTTAAATAGGATTAGATTTCCTCAGGCAGTCTATAAATATTGCCTCTATGTCAAGTGTAATTAGAGATACTTTTACACGGTATATACAATATTAATCTCCGCTATCAATTTTAAATTGCTAAATTGTGTGAATAAAAGGGACAAATATGTGAATAAATACAGTATTAAGCGAAACAAATAGTTATTACATTTATATGCAAACATTTTACAACAGCGTATTTCAATACAGAAAATGGCTTAAAAAGTTACCGCATTTACTCGCAAAATAAGCGAGGCATTCACCCGGATTCGAGACTTTTTGATATTAAACCCCGAAAGCACGAGGTAAGGAAAATGAAAATTCCTTGCATTCTTCTTCGCTTAAAAAGGCAGCTATGAAGGAAGGGATACAGTTGCCAAATTTAAATAGTGACGAAATATCGTAATTACATTTTTGTTTGAATATCACCTGTAACGGTTACAGCCGAAAACATCGCGGCAAAAACATCGCAGACGAAAACGTCGCGGAGAAAACAACGCAAGGCGAAAACGTCGTGCTACAAAACATCGTAGGAGGAAACATCGCAAAGAGAAAACATCGCAGTTCTAAAATATCGCGGTACAAAACATCGTCGTCGAAAATAAAGCGGTTCAAAAACTTCGCAGTTTAAAAACATCGTCGTCGAAAATATCGTGGTAAAAAATAAAGTCTCTACAAATCATCGCATGACGATAACATCGCAGACATACTTTTTTCAGGTTTTAATAATTGTAAATGGATATTCCCGTAATGATTTGTGAGGGCAAGATGGAAAGAAGGATAATTTTTACTTTCATATTTTTTATTAATCAATAAATTGTTGCTGAGAAAATAAGGAAACTTCAGCATAGAAATTTAATGCAACTTATAGCACTTAATAGAATTTTAAACCGACATAGTTCACTAACAAAGGTCATTAATAAATCATTTTTATAAAGCTTTTAATGGTAATTTTTCATGAAAAGTATAATCTATAAGTTGCATTTAATTTTCTATGCTTAAGTTTCCTTCTTACTTTTTCAGCAAAAATTTATTAGTTAATAAAAAAGTGTGAAAGTGAAAGTAAAAGGTATCCTTCTTTACATCTTGCGCTCACAAATCATTATGGGAATATCCATTTACAATTATTAAAACCTGAAAAAAGTATGTCTGCGATGTTATCGTCATGCGATGATTTGTAGATGCTTTATTTTTTACCACGATATTTTCAACGACGATGTTTTTAAACTGCGAAGTTTTTGAACCGCTTTATTTTCGACGACGATATTTTGTACCGCGATGTTTTAGAACTGCGATGTTGTCTCTTTGCGATGTTTTCACCCACGATGTTTTGTAGCGCGACTTTTCGCCTTGCGTTGTTTTCTCCGCGACGTTTTCGTCCGCGATGTTATCGGCGGACACCACCTGTAACACAGTCTTGGAAATTTTCGAAGGCAGAAAATCTTAAAAATCAGCTTCGTCCTTGCTGAGATTCGATCGCCTGACCTTCCATTTCGTAGCCGGACGTGCCTCCAATTATTCCGCGAAGGCACTCAGGGAGGGAGGAGAAAATGCTTTAAATGAATGTAGAGTCATTAGGGTTTTTTGATACTGGAGAAGTGAAAAATGAGCAATACCCTCGGCGGGACTCAAACCGGAAACTCTTGCGCAGGAGAAACATTGCGTTGCTCGTCTTAACAATGCCAAACTCCAACAGACAATGCTTACGTTCCTTAGGACTACGAAGTTAAGATCTTAGGACGACTTGCTGGTCAACCAAACCAGACGAGAATTTTGTCTCAGAAAGTGTAATATCCTTTTAAATTAGAAGGAGACAAAAGTGTCTGAAATGGATAGGAAGAGAAAATAGGCACCTCACCGGTCATAATGTTCTTGTTGATGATTTGCACGTGTTTGTCCCGGTCCGGTCTGGTGTGTTCGTGCCAGAAGCCGACTACGTGGCCAAGCTCGTGCACCACAATGCCGAACTTATCGCAGTTTTTGCCTATGGAGATGGCCTGCGGGCCGTTGCCGCGCTTTCCCACGAAAGAACAACACCTGCAAAGAGAAAAATCGAGAATTAGAAAATTGATTTGCAAACAATTCCAATACAGAGTAACCAATATAATAGGATGAGAATAAGTTCTATACCTGATTGCAAATATTTTACATAAAATAATCACTGAAGATATACTCATGGAATTTGAATCATTACGCAGTTCTATTATTATAGTTTTTTATCCTGCAATAAATGATACTACAGTAATTATAAGAAAATTATAGTTAGTGGTGAAATGAGTTCGAAGGAACGAAAAGCTGAGCCTGTTTGTAGTATCTTGAAATCAAGCCGCCCATCAACGGCGGTTTAGAAGTTTGTACAGACGCAATCATCCAAATGTTAAGAGCATCAGGTATTGTGTGAGAGGTTTTAAACCAAGTCGCCCATCAACGGCAGTTTAGAAATTTGTACAGACGTAATCATCCAAATGGGGATTGTGGGAAAGGTTTTAAAGGAAATGGTAATACTGGTGATGTTCCAGAATTGCAGGTATTCTGTGAGTGAGTACTGAGAGTGTGATCGTTGACATCATTGGTGAACTGGATAGAGGTTGTATCAAAGATCGAGTGTTTGCCATACCAGGCCTTGATAATGATACTTTCAAGGCCAGAATAACTCATGATTTGTCAATATAACGGAGCAAATGTTGACGAACAAGTGGCGCGAATTCGCATACGAATTCTTCTCCTAGCTACAAAGATGGCTCATGTTGTAAATTACTAATACAACAAATCTTCATTAAAAAAATCGGCTTTTTTGATTGATAACACAAACAATACCACGGGGTTGCAGTATGAAACACAATACAGAAAAGTAAACAGTAATGGAAAAAAATTTCTTATTTACGAAGGATCAAAATAATTTACAATGAATTTACAGAAATAATTGTTATAATATATGGTGTGTTGCGGCACTAAATGTAAAAATGAAATAGAATTAAGTGTAGTGAATTAGAGTTACTTGAGCACCAAAAATAGTCACATGGCGTTTTTTGAATTAAAGGATCAACAAATGTAAATCAAATGAATTACTTACTTAGTAAATCGCGTTGTGTAGCAATAACCCATAAATACATACGAACGTGCGGATCAAAATGTATGATATAGAAGGAAATACGAAACCAAGTACTTACCCCAAAGTACGACAACTGTATATTTACCAAATCAATTACATTTTATTCTTCATCTTTGATATTGAAATAAGCATTAATATAAATAAATTATCAACTAGACAGACGAATAAATTTGAATATCAAGCACGAGTGATGCACATCACCAGAATTAAAGTTGCACTCAGAATAAAGTCAATCTTTCTGCATCAGCTCTAAACAAAGTCTTGGTGAAAAAGAAGCAATCAAATTTTGATGGCAGTCATTAAGCGTACTTGATTAATCATGGTACTTCTACTTTTTTTCTTTAAATCAGGAAATATCAGATCTCGCAAACACGTGCGCGCGAAGAGTTCTCGAAAGGAGGAAGAAGCTGAACAAAAATTATTTTCTGCAACGATTTACAGGAACAGGAGTAATTATTTTCTTGAATCTTCATGTAAAAATCTCACTAAAAAGGATTTTCATGTAGAGCAGACAGCATCGAAGGAACAGCAAAGAGAGCAGGAAAATGGCACATCGCATCGGCCAGGGAGAGGACAGACCGAAGCCCGTCCTACACCCTCGAACGCCAGCAGCAGAAGAGCGAGAAACCGGTTGTTGCAATCTTTTTCGTGTTGTCCTTGAGCGTTTGCGGTTAGCACACCTGACGCTGAATAATGTGGAGGCTTGCCTGCACAATAATCAAAGGCAATTCTCTCACAAATAAACTGATGGAATAATTAATATTAATTATTTAATATTTTTAAGGCCAGTGTTAAGATCTGTTATTGTTTTTGTTGTGACTTTTCTCACTTGTCTGACAGTAACATCAGAACAAGCCCCCGAAATTCATCGTGGCAAGGAGTGCAAGCGTGAGCCTGTCGTTGGCAAGAGCCTTGAGCACCAAACAGGTGACAGTACGACTTTGCTCAGTTCCACGTTCAATTTTGATGGCGAGCACCCCGAGGGGACTGGTCCGAGAGTTTAGTACCCCCTCTTACCTTTCCACAGCCTCTCAAACTAGTGCTACTAGAATCTCATTTCTTAGAAAAGTCCCGTCTAGCAGGAATCGTTGCTTAGATGTGATAACCTCTTAACACTCATTAATGGGAGGTTACCGCAACACTTTTCTTAAACTACATATTCCCTCGTTATTTTAAATCAAGCTGATGTCCCTTCTGCTTAAGACCGATGGAACAAATAGCAAGAAAATAAACAAGTATAAATAATTTCTAACCAAAAATACACCTTATACTTTATACACTACAGTACAAGATCTCTGTTATTCAAGCTGTAATTATCAGATTTTAAGCTTTATCCCATGTATCATGAAATTCTAATTTGTACTAGAAGTTGTTGCTATTCATATTTTGGTTTATTCAATAATGATTGTTTACAAATTTGTGTGAAGTCTAACTATCTGAAATGTTTAATTCTGGTCTGGCTCCGTAAAGACGGTAGGCGAATTATAGTCCCCTCCTAAATCTTTCAGTAACGTAACACCAACTAGGGACAAGACTTAAGTTGGGAATTGTGGTTTAATAGTTTTGACTATATTTCTGTTTTAACCTTTTGTCTTAATCTTTTAATTGTATTTTTGCTTGTTTGGGTTAGGTGTGCTGCGACCATGAGACCGAATATTATATGCCAGGAGGGGTTTCAGTACACTCGCATATTACATTACTATTTTTGTCTAACAAATTTACACAGCTCGTGTAATAACAAAAGATATAACAATATTCACAAAACAAATAACGCTGATAGGTTTGGCATCAGGCCCTTAACAAACGTGAGCGAACACGATTAGCAAAGGCTAAAGCCGATTCAGGCATATCCGTTAATTGAGCCAGAATTGTATAAAGACGGTCTACGATCGCTGCCAAAAGAACTCTTATTTCAAGAACTTTGTTATTACATACATTACTAACTTGCATCTTGGCCACTAACTAACAGCCAGTGGTAGTAGAAGTAACAGTACAGGCAAAATAATAAAGCAAATGATTAACTGTAAAACATAAAACCCTACCAACTAATTTTTCAAACACTACGGAACATGTATTATTGTGAATGTGAGCGTTTATTATTCCATTATGCACGTTGTATTTCTTTTCCGTCATGACGTACTTGTGCAGCGTACCGGAGGGGAATTATAATTCCCTGTATCATATTTTTATTGTAGTAGAAGTATAAATTTAATTACATATGATTTCAATGTGCAGCATTTATATTTATAATTTAATTGCATAAAGTTTATCACAAACGTACATACATACGCACACATTTATTGATGCTCAGCCCTTCTGTTTTAACAATTGGTAATCGATAGTTTTCTATTATCCGACATCCACGATTAATCGATGGCTTAACGCTTTTTGTGTTGACTGAGACTTTCTTCTTTCATATGTATTATTTGATCATGAGTATTGGAAATCATATACTTATGCTGTTTACATATGTATTTACTGAACATTTTCATAATGCACTGAACCTGAAGGCTGGGTAAACATATAATTAAGTAAAAGTAAATATGCTTGTAAAAAGTAAATTGTATTGCTCTGTTTCGTAGTGCCCATCTTGTTCGCCTGTAAAACCTGTTTCTTTGCTATTCTACCGGCTATACAGGAAAGCAAAGCATCAAATAGAAATTTTCCTTTTTTTTTTTTTTTTTTTTTTAAAGAATTGGCTTACTGCTATCTTGTTAATATAACAGCGCTTAATTTGTTTCCCGTGGCAGGAAATTGTGAAAGATGTATTTTATATGAAGACAGAGCTAATACTGAAATAAAAGCCATTTCGTTGCAGAATATACCTTCTTTAGAAACCTGTCAAGTGGAATTTCAAGCCTTCCTTCATGTTGCATCATCAACCAAGGCAGCTATATAAAAACATGTCAAAAATTGCATTAGTTTATATTAATAATTAACTGACTTGTCTATAAGGCCGCATTTCATAATAGTATGTAGACTGCAACACCTACATGCAGTGACAATACACTTACGCTTGAGAAAACAGTCCACGTTACCAAAACACTAATTAATGCAGCTTTGTACTGAAATTTGACATGAATACGCATTTATCTGGGATAACGGTATGGTTTTTATTATTAGCACGGCTTTCAAGTTTTGCAGCTTACAATTAGGCAGTTAAAGTTTAACCATTCTTGATTTTAAGAATATGTGACTTTTCGACTGAGAAATTAATTTTTCTTCATTAAAAATTATCTACAGAGCGAATGAAAGTCATTAAAGCATTCCAGATTCATTCATTAGTTATCGTTGTTCATTCAGATTCAGCAATCGAATCTAATTCCACGAAATGGAAACTCTGTATCTCCTCTGATTAGTTATGGTGCGAAAAAAGTTTTTTTTCCCTTTCTGAATAACGGCTGAACTATATATCATTTATAAACTGAGTTTGACTTAACTTGGAAAGTAGAATAACTTTCTAGAGTGTCGAAAGAATTTTAATCACCTTTTTACCCTTCACAAAAACACTTCGAGGAAAAAAATAATTATCACAATAAATAACTACACTCTTGAGAAGGGAAGATATACAGTGATGGACATGAGTAAAGGCACATTTTGCGTTTACAAGTGAAAATTTAAACTAAAAGCCTAACAACCTGGCTAACTATTCCATAGTATTAATTAAATTTTCAACGGAAAAGGACTATTTAGAGCTATCACTAGCTGATAGCAAAAAATTAATGTTTAAGGCAATCAATAACGAAGTAGTGTAATGAAGGGTAAATTATGTTGCCAAATCTCTCTCTTACTTAGATCTATCTGTTACTTAGATTCTTTAATTAAAACTCACTTGGTCATGCTGCATTATAGGAGCAAACTGATATTACACTCCTGAAAACGGGAAGACACATACATATAGGCACAGGACGGAATATCAGAATTT